CGTGTCTGCGCTAGGGGCACGCAGGCAGAGGGAGAAGGACGTTCTTGCTTCCATGCTGGTTCAGATTCTCGGGGTGAAGGAAAGCAGGGATTTGGAGGAAGGATTCGGTGTTGCCATGCAGAATCTGCTGTCTGGCGGGCTGGAGAAGGCGCATGCAGAGAGGTGGGGGGGAGCAGGCAAGGGAGTTGCGGGAGCAAGCAAGGGTAAACGGCAGATGGAGAATGATGGGAACCCGGAAGGGTCATGGGAAACCATGGACGGTGGTGGTGGGGGTGGCAGGGATGGGAAGGGTGGGAAGTGGAGGGAGCATCTGAAGGGGCATGTGTGGGAGAGGTATGTGGATGGCATGGCTTGGATTCTGGAGCATGGAGGGGGGGAAGGGAGGGAGTTCAGGTGCAGCCACTGTAGTGGGGGGGACAGCAGCAGTGGTGCCAGCAGCAGCAGCAGCAGCAGCAGCAGCAATCTGGAAGGCACGGAAATTCCCAAGGGCATGTATGTGAGTGGCATAGGTGCGACTGACTTTGCTATTTGCGTTGCTTCAGTGCTGTCCTCGCCGCAGTACCGCTGGGAGACCAATCTTTACCTCCAGGATGGCAACACTGCGAGCAAGACATGGGTGGAGGATGCGGCTATTGAGACGGCCAGGGAGAGACTGAGACGGAGGGCGCAGGGTGAAGGAGGGGCAGCAGGCAGAGGTGTGGGAACAACAGCATCAGCATCACCATCGGCAGTGGCAGCGGCATTTGCCAACCCAACTCCTGTCAACACCAACCCTGTCGTTGCCGTCTTCACGTATCGTGCTGCCTGCGTTCTGCAGTGGGCCCGCACCTATGGCTCTGAAGTCATCCCCGCTAGTCAATGCTGCAAGGACAGCCCCCAGGGGAAGGTCCGGCCCATGCGTCACCCGCTTCGGGACCTTCCGAGCCTCCTGGTCAGGCTCGGTGCCATCCCCAAGCCTGTGGACCAAGGCAGCTTTGCCTGGGACTGGGAGGAGTGGCCTCAGGGCGATGAAGCTGCTGCGAAGCTTCCTGATGATCTGAGTGCGAGATTCTTTCGGCTGGGAATCGTGGAGGAAGCGAGTGGGCCAGCAGGGGAGCATGGGGCAGGAGGAGAGAAGGTCAAACGCAGGAGGCAAGACTGGGGCCGTGAGGAGGGAGGGAGGAGACAAAGGGAGGGGCAAGCAGGAGGGAAGCAGAGGACGTGGGGAAGAAGAGAGAGTTCGAAAATCGGGGTGTGACTTAGACGAGAGGCTGCTGCAGCAGCTGCTCACAAAGCTGCGGCCGCTAGTGCAGAGGAAATACCCCATCGTTCGCTGCACTGCCGATGCTGATTTCCTATTGGAGTTTGCCGGGAATCTGGTCAAGCCACCTGCATGCGCTCAGTGCAAGCCCTGCCTTGCTGTCTACAGCCGTAGCATCCCCTTCCTCACGCTCATCGCCAACTACGCCTACCGACCTGCCTCCATCATTTTCAACCGCTTTGTATCCCTCTTCCCGCCTCTCTCACCCGAATTCGACCGGGTCGCTGCTCGTATGGGCGTGCCGCCTTTCCCTGCCAGCGTGCCGGGCTTTCTAAGGTCGGCTCTGCTGCACAATCAGGCAGAGCTGGATCCCGTGCTCTTCCTCTTGGCCGTGGCTCCAAAATGGGCCGCCCCCATTCTGGGAATCACCGACCGGAAGGACCTACACAAGCTGCGAGACGGAGAGGGAGCGGACGGGAGGGTGTGGGAGGAGGTGCAGATGTGGTGGCTGGCGGTGGAGTTTGCATGGCAGGGCACCATGAAGCTGGAGGCCGAGGCACTGAGTGACACGTGCCAGGGAAGAGAGGAGCGGGCCGCAAGGGATGGAGTGCAGGGAGAGGAGGTTACGAGTGACAAGTGGCGCAAGCTGTGGAAAAGGGCTGCCAAACCCAGGTTCTGTGAAGACGTTGACAGTGAGAAAAGGCTTTCTGAAATTATCAGTGAAAGCAGCAATCTCAGCGACATCTTCGGAAGCAGCAGCTCTAGTCACGGAAATGACAGTGACAATGGGGGTCGACGGACGAAGGGGGATGATGGGAAGGGCAAGCAGGGGGATGAGCCGGCTTATTTGAAGCCATGGCCAGGGGGAGTCAATTTGCTGGCTTGTCTGCGAGAGATGCTGCTGGGGGAGCCATGCTACCGCCCTGCCTCCCCTACTGCCCCTTCCACCCCTGCTGCCTCTTCCGCACATGTTTCCTCATCCGCTTGTGCTGCTGCTGCTGCCCCTTTCTCCCATGCTGCTCCATCCTCCAGTGCCACACCGGACCACGCAAGTGCACCCATTGCGGTTGCACGTGGCACTGGTCCTGCTGCTAGTGGTGGGGAGCGTGTGTGCGGTGCTGTGGGGTGTGGGACGGTGGGGGGTGGTGGCGGTGTGAGGCTGAAGAGCTGTGGCGGGTGTGGCAAGGTGGCGTATTGCAGCAGAGAGTGCCAAAAGGCGCACTGGCCCTCCCACAAGCTCACATGCCCCGGCAGGACCAGCGGCAAGAAGAGTGGGACGACCAGTGGCAAGGTGAGCGCAAGGTGAGTGCCAATGTGAGTGACAATGTGAGTGACAATGTGAGTGGCAATGTGAGTTGCAATGTGAGTGGCAATGTGAGTGACAATGTGAGTGGCAAGATGAGTGGCAATGTGAGTGCCACGATGTGAGTGGCAATGTGAGTGACAATGTGAGTGGCAATGTGAGTGGAAATGTGAGTGGCAATGTGAGTGGCAATGTGAGTGGCAATGTGAGTGCCACAATGTGAGTGGCAATGTGAGTGGCAATGTGAGTGACAATGTGAGTGGCAATGTGAGTGGCAATGTGAGTGACAATGTGAGTGACAATGTGAGTGGCAATGTGAGTGGCAATGTGAGTGACAATGTGAGTGGCAATGTGAGTGCCACAATGTGAGTGGCAATGTGAGTGCCACAATATAAGTGGCAATGTGAGTGGCAATGTGAGAGACTACGGACAGCAGCAAGCACAGGTAGGGAGAGCTAAAGATAAATCAGTGGTGTGTCCTTACTTTCCCCAACGCTGAGTGGTGGAGAGGAGTGGTGACCAAGTTCTCCACGAAGCTGCAAACAAGGCAATGTGAAGCAATTGCCTCCCACATGGCTGGGCTAGGTGAACAATGTCCACACATGTGCATTGGTTTCCTCTGTCCAATTGATCATGCATGCCTCTAAATGCATTTTCTGTCTCTTCTCCATGCCCCCGCTACCCTTCTCTCTTCTGGACCTACACAGATTTCGTGACAGCAAGTGGCTGCAAAAAAAATCGAAACAATGACCGGAGACTATTACGGTAATCACACCCCTGTGTTTTCAAGATATTCAAGTTAAATAAAATGTCAGCATTACGGTATATGCTGGCGAGAGTGGGTGTCTGCAAACATCTATGGAATTATCTAGTTTTTTGCGTGCCAATGAGCTTTCCTCAAGGTCCTTCTGGTACCCTACCCATTAGAGTGGCTCGCATGCAGCACAAGAAGGTTGGAATACCGATATTTCACATCCAAGATACGGTACCAGCCTACCAGGTTTACAAAGACTGCATGGAACTTCAGCTGGTCTGCTTGTATTTTCCAACTCTGTTGACAAGTATCGTTCATCCGATCTCAAGATCCGACGAACCACATTTCTCGACATCCCCGACCGGCTTCAGATTGCGTTGCGTTTTTGCCTGCTCCGCCTTCAGTATACCGGTACTGTTTCTGCGTTTCCAGAGTCAAAGGCAGCAGCTGTGAAGTCGTCTCTGGCAAAGTAGAAAGTGGTGAACCTTCTTCCACTGCATCTCCAAGGCAGACAGTCCCTTCCAGCACAGGACCAACAATGCTGGAGAAGCTGAGGATGCGGACACCAAGAATGTTTGAAATCCCACACACGTGATGCAGAAATGTGACGGTTTGTATCAGGAGAGATTGGATTAGGGGTTGCCACATGACACGGTAATTTCTTGCTGAATTTGTCTGAATTTCTTATTTATCACACCGGACCAGACTGTTCAGAGTGACATGTTTTAGGTGATGTAATATCCACATAGTCTTTAGCCTGTAAATGCTCCAAGCTTCTCCGCCATCCTTGCTGGCTCGCTACCTGATACAGAGAATGGGATGTTCAGCTGAGAGAATGTGCTCATCAGAAACATGTATTTATGGTGCTTTAAACAGGAGGCGGTTTAGCACAGCCAAGAAACACGAATGTTTGTTATGTCTCATCACCATTCATGTCTCATCACCATTCATGTCTCATGAGCTCATGCGAAACTCACCAGCAGCAGGGGTCCCTCTCTGGGCAATCATTCGCCGATGTGATTGAATACATATTGACTGTAACAGGAGCAGGGCCACTGAGCCGATACTGTAGCCAGGCACCTGAAGGGAGTGCCACCGGAACGATAAGAACGTTCACAAAGTGACAAGAACGTTTTAAGTCATTTTAGAGATTTCTCATGAGTAACCAGGTGCCTGGCTAAAATGTCATGAGTAACCAGGGAGAAATCTCATCCCATCCTATTCACCTGGTCACCAGGTCACGAACCTTTTCAGCCACACCCATCTTTTGAGTCGACTCAAAAGTCACCTTGAGTGGGTCACCAGGTCACGAACCTACTCAGCCACACCCATCTCATTGGATGCATTCTCCCATGAGCCATTGAGATGGCATCAAATCCACCCAGTGAAACATTGTCATTCCAATCCTGCCATCCACCCACAGCCAAACACACTCATCTCACCATCTCATTCGGTGCGTTATCCCTATCAGCTGACACGCAGAAAGTCACGAGTGAGAGGGCATTCCCCAACTTGGACGTTTTTTTAGTCGACTAAAAAGTTGCCGCATCGGGTGAGACGCACATACTCATGGTACAGAGAGAGAGAGAGAGCATTCACTGAGTCGAGCCCTAACCCTGCCAGCCCACCATTGGCAGGAGTGACACAGAGCCAATCTTGCCCTCCACAACTGCACATTCCCATCTCACCTTGACTTGAGAATCTCAGAACTGATACAAGCACACCCGAGCCAAAACCATCACTTATGAGAATTCTCAAGTGTGATACAACAAGCACTCCTATCTCACCATCTCATTGAGTGCCTTCTCCCCATCAGCTGACACCATGCCACCACACACCCTCTCATGCTGCACCAATCCCTGCAGCCACGATGCATCTCCATCCCCACCGTTCCCGGCCCGCATCTGCTCCAATGCCTGCTTGACATGTGGCAGCACCTCTTGTGCTGCCTGCATCGTCACATCTGCCAGCACAACCCCTTCTTCGTACCTCCAACCTTCCACCCCTGCCGCTACTTCTTTTGGAGGTTCACACTCCTTCACCCCTATCACCCACCCTGACCCCCCTCCTGTGCGCTGCTGCTGCTCCCCTGTCCCGCTGCAGCTGCAAGTACTGCTCCCATCACTAGCAGGGGTACCTTTGCTGGCAGCAACAGAAGAGCCAGAACCATCACTAGCAGAAGAGCCAAAACCATCACTAGCAGAAGAGCCAAAACCATCACTAGCAGAAGAGCCAAAACCATCACTAGCAGAAGAGCCAAAACCATCACTAGCAGAAGAGCCAAAACCATCACTAGCAGAAGAGCCAAAACCATCACTAGCAGAAGAGCCAAAACCATCACTAGCAGAAGAGCCAAAACCATCACTAGCAGAAGAGCCAAAACCATCACTAGCAGAAGAGCCAAAACCATCACTAGCAGAAGAGCCAAAACCATCACTAGCAGAAGAGCCAAAACCATCACTAGCAGAAGAGCCAAAACCATCACTAGCAGAAGAGCCAAAACCATCACTAGCAGAAGAGCCAAAACCATCACTAGCAGAAGAGCCAAAACCATCACTAGCAGAAGAGCCAAAACCATCACTAGCAGAAGAGCCAAAACCATCACTAGCAGAAGAGCCAAAACCATCACTAGCAGAAGAGCCAAAACCATCACTAGCAGAAGAGCCAAAACCATCACTAGCAGAAGAGCCAAAACCATCACTAGCAGAAGAGCCAAAACCATCACTAGCAGAAGAGCCAAAACCATCACTAGCAGAAGAGCCAAAACCATCACTAGCAGAAGAGCCAAAACCATCACTAGCAGAAGAGCCAAAACCATCACTAGCAGAAGAGCCAAAACCATCACTAGCAGAAGAGCCAAAACCATCACTAGCAGAAGAGCCAAAACCATCACTAGCAGAAGAGCCAAAACCATCACTAGCAGAAGAGCCAAAACCATCACTAGCAGAAGAGCCAAAACCATCACTAGCAGAAGAGCCAAAACCATCACTAGCAGAAGAGCCAAAACCGCCACCCCTCTCTCCACAAGCTGTCATTGCTACTGCCACTAGCAATTACCATCGAGCAAAATGTTTGCCCCGAATGAGGATCGAACTCACGACCTTAGGATGGCTCCGACCAGGAAACCGGGAGTCGGAATGCTATGAGACCTACGCGCTACCGACTGCGCCATCGAGGCTTGTAAATTGCGACAATCTAAAACATTAGAGCCTTATTTGCGGGACCATGTTTTGAGTGTTCTTCAGCTGATTCAACCTGCACGGTGCAACAGCGGAGGTATGATGGGGAGACCACCCACAATCCCTGTACGCCTCAGGGTCAGATGGCACAGGCGGAGGTGCAACAGTGGAGGCATGATGGGGAGACCACCCACCTGGCACCTGCATGGTGGCGACAAGGACGGAGGAGGGCAGATAGGCAAGGAGTGTTCATAGGCATGTTCATAGGCATGTTCATAGGCGTGTTCATAGGCATGTTCATAGGTTCATAGGCATGTTCATAGGCATGTTCATAGGCATGTTCATAGGCATGTTCATAGGCATGTTCATAGGCATGTTCATAGGCGTGTTCATAGGCATGTTCATAGGCATGTTCATAGGCATGTTCATAGGCATGTTCATAGGCATGTTCATAGGCATGTTCATAGGCATGTTCAAAGGCATGTTCATAGGCATGTTCATAGGCGTGTTCATAGGCGTGCTCATAGGCGTGTTCATATGCGTGTGGACTGGAAGGGGGCAGCAGCACAGGTGGGGCTGCAGGAGCGAGGGCATGATGGGGAGTCCACCTACTTGCATGGTGGGGACAAAGACAGAGGAGGGCAGATATGCAAGGAGTGTTCATAGGAGTGTAGACTGGAAGGCGCAGGTCGGGGTGTAACAGCGGAGACACAATGGGAGGCCAAGGAGGCAGGAGTAGGGGAGGGAGGGAGGGCTAGCACAGGGAAGAACGACGGGGCAGTAGAGAGAAGAGGTGGTCATAAGAGGTGCATTGGTGGTCATAAGGGGTGCAGGGGTGGTCATAAGGGGTGCAGGGGTGGTCGTAAGCTATGTTGGAAAAAACGCTGGGGCTTCTACGCGTATCACGTTTATGCGAGAACGTATATACGGAAAAACGTGATACGTTCCGTAATCCGCGATACGTTTTGTCGGGCAGCCTGAAAAAAAAAGAGAAAAAATCTGTTGCCGCTGATTCCGCGATCTGCAATTCTGTGAAACCTAATTTTGAGATTCGAAACTCGAATGCCCCCCTCCCCTCCCCTCCACCGCACATCACCTCACACCACCTCCCAAACCCAACCTTCCCTTACGAGCTGCTCGCACGTCGGCGTGAGTACAACAGCGAATCTCATTTGGCTCACGCCAAGTTTACTGCTATTGCTAGCAGCGGCGTCGCGTCACTTGCATTGCAGATCTTAGCAACCGCAATATTAGGACGATTCTAGCCAACAATTTCGTACTGGCGTAAACCCCACGGGAGTTATCCGCATCAAGTATTGCTTAAGTTCTTTCCCTATAAGCATTCTACGTCAACCGAAATGTTTTTCCCCTGCCCTAGAGATTTTTAACCTGCCCGACGCACCGTATTTCGAGGTTTTTTGTACGATACCGTATAGTTCGTATGCGTTCCGTACGCCATACGCGTATTTTCCAACATAGGTCGTAAGGGGTGCTGGGGTGGTCGTAAGGGGTGCAGGGGTGGTCATAAGGGGAATTGGGGACCAGATGAGGCAGAAGGTGTAACGCATCCCCTACTCCTACCTATCGAGCTACCTCACTCCTAAGGCAACCATTCGAGATTGAACTCGATGAAGGTTGAGTTGCAGGAGATTGTAGTTGGGGTTGGGAAGGAGGGGTTGGGAAGGAAGGGTTGGTTGGGTTTATCCAAACCTCAACATTGAGGCTTGGAACATTCCAACCCATCAAAGTGAAATCACAAAGGTTGGAATTCCAACCAATCAGAAACTGTCAAACAATTGTTACAATCTACTCTATCTTAAACACAACCATTGAATGGTTCTAAGTTGGGTTTTCCAACCCAACACAATTGCCACATAGGCTCCAAGCCTAGGAACCATCCCACCATGGAAACTCTGGTTGGGATAGTTCCCCAAGGGGTGTATTGAGAGGGTCTGAGCTAAGCAAGCTCATTCTCAACCTCCCACTCCAACTAAACAATTGGAAATGGGATTGTTTTTCTAAGTCATTTTTGGGCTCTCTCACAAGCCTTCCTACACAATTCTCTCAAGCTATTTCAACAACTCCTTCAAGAAGATTGGCACCTCAAAGGCTATTGGGAGCTAGCTAGAGCTTCATCTTGTATTGTGATTTATTATAAAAGCCTTGTAACTCCATTATAATAGCCTGGGGTGTTACAGAAGGTGTGGTGGTGGGGAGGGGACACGATGACAGGTAGCTCACCCATTTAAAAAAGAAACAGGGAGGACGACGACAAGGAAAGAAAAGGTGGCCGCAGGGAGGGAGGGAGGATGCAGATCGGAAGACAAGGTGGGGGTGAGTATATGTATGGAGGGGAGTGAACACAATGCCATAAGGGGAACCAGCATTACAATCACCTGAACCAGGACTGCAATCACAACCAGGACTTGTAGCAGACAAGCAGCTTCCTCTCCACAGCATGACGAGGCTAAGCTAGTTGGGCTGGACGCATGAAACCAGTTGGAAACAGTTAGAGAATAGGCCAAAATCCGCCTCTCTTGAGTTGCCTTCCTCACAGGTACAGCTCTTGCAACCTTCGCGGCTTCGCCAGAGCATCTCTCTCCTCCTATTCCTCATGAAACGAGCCTAGTTTTGAGGCGCCTCAAAACTGAAGCTTTATAGCGCTCTCTCTCCTTCAATTCCTCAGGAAACGAGCCGCTTCAGGCCTCTCTGGCCTCTGTCCCTCTCTCGCCTCTGTCCCTCTCTCGCCTCTGTCCCTCTCTCGCCTCTGTCCCTCTCTCGCCTCTGTCCCTCTCTCACCTCTGTCCCTCTCTCGCCTCTGTCCCTCTCATCCGCCGTGAGGTCTGTCTAGGGGCGTTTGCATTTCTTTCCCCTTCATGCCCAAACTCATCCTCACATTCCCATCCCGCCATTTACAATTCTCCATCATCCATCCACGATTCCGCCGTCCTACTCCAGCCGCCCTGCTCCCGCCGCCCTGCTCCCGCCGTCCCTCCTTCCCACACCCCCCCCATCGCCTCACCTCCACGCCCATATCGACCTCCACTCCCATATTGAACCGCTCCTCGCCGAACACCACCGTCACCTCTCGCGCCGCCATCGCTGGTCGTACTAACACCCGCCGCGCTGAACGGGCCAAGTGGCGCACCCGCAACTTCGGAAAGGCTACGAATTCCGGCACGTGGCGCGCGAGCGACCGATGCCTGGGTGCGGCGAGCGACACAACGAAACGGCAGCCACGTGGTTAGTTGATTCGACTTGAATCCAACTTCGTGCAATCTGAAACTCGGACTCCTAGTAGGTGGTTTTCTTGGGAAAGGGAGCACTCAGGCCGCGGCGTAAACGTGGTGAGTGAGAGTAAGCGCGAGAAGAAAGGTCTCGCGAGAAAGGTCGCGCAAGAAAGGTCTCGCGACAGACCAATGCCGCGATTTGACTATATCGCATGCGGCGCCTTGCCTTGCCGATGACAGCTGCTGCTAGCCAGGGTGGTCTAAAATAGAGTAAACTTGATGATGCGTCTCCTCGTCACCACACCTCACTGAGTGTTTTTTCGCTTCAACTAAAAGCTCTCACACTGATCTTCTATGACGGTCTATCTCACGCTTCACTCCTGACAAAGAATGACTAAAGCGGTAGCGCAAACCCGAAGCGGCTTGGTTTCTGCTGAGGTGAAGTAGTATCCTGGTCCTCAGACAGGGAAGGAGTGGAATCCTGGTCTCGCGTCCGGACAGTCTATCTCACGCTTCACTCCTAGTCCGTTTCTCTGCAGGTTGCTGCGAGGAAAATGTTTCGTTCTTGCAAGTTACATTGTCCACAAATCTTTTCGTCGAGCTTCGACCATTATCGTGAGCTCGACTTCATCTGCTGGAGTTCGTCCACCTAGCTCCTGAAGTTGTCGAGCCACTTCCCTCAAAGCCTGTTTTTTCGCGCCAAAACAAGCACAACCTTACCAGTACCTTTCCGAAGCTAACCCGAAGCAAACCACACCACACGAAACAAGCCGAGCCGGACCCAAGTGACCAATCACAGCCCCTCGTTGCGGAGCAAACTTGAGCTTCACATTTGAACTTTCTTGATGCTTCACCTCTCCAGGCCTGACTTTCAGAATTCCGACTCAAGAAAATCCCAACATTGCTCTTTTCACTGCATAGTGTCAGGCACTCCCTCCTTGCCATGATTCAGTGAAGCTTCTCCGCATCGATGGAGTTGGCTTACCGGCATTTGTTATGTAAAATTATAGTTTTGTAGGATCCAAGGTGTCTTCTTACGAAGTTCCTTCGGTGCGACTGATACGCGACAGCTGCGAAACCGGATCATACGTTTTTTAACACTTGAGAATACGACGACACCCTGTTCAGTGTAATAGTATCAAGATGCGTCGCCGGCCTTCCGCGTTTCCAACATTCCTCTCTGAAGCGGCGAAGGAGGCAGCCTTAAGGGAAGCATGGTGGAATAAACCGCTCTCAGAGGACGTCAAGAAGTGGCTGAGAACATGGGTCTACCAAGAGGAGGAACCACTTGGTGAAGGGACGAAAGGGGAGGAATTAACTGGTGAAGGCCCAGCAACGCGGAAGAACGGAGGGGGATCCGGCGAAAAACTGGGAACAGAGGAAGCATCGGCGGGGAAGTTTCAGCTGCTGTGTCGAGCGGACATGGTTCACTATCTCGACGTGCGAGACGGCTGGGAGCTAGAGCAATGTGAGTGCTGCTTCGACCGCGCCGTGAGCTACTGAGTGCAGCGAGCTCTCAACATGATGTCCCTCGAAGATTTCCGATTCCACCTGCACACACATTTGCCTCCCTCCGTCCCTGCTGCGGCGCCAAACAGGCAATCCAGAGCAATTCGCGAGTTCGCCTCACGGGTACCTGTGGAGGCGTTGGGTGGGAGAGGGGGTGCGCCGGATTATATTCAGTTCCATTGGAAATGCGAACGGGCGCCGTTTGTTTGTGCGGAAGCCATGCTGCTCGAGTGGATGGCTGAGCCTCGTGTGGGCGTGCTCATGGACCTGGGGAGGATCAGATCCCGCCTGCCTGCCATTCTGGCTGTCGGGACTGCTTCTAACGAGGCCTCAACTTCTTCTGCTCATTCTGCTCCTACTGATTCTGCTGCTCCTGTTGTTGCGTGGTCCTGCTGCTGGCGCTGCAGCAGTTGCTGGGCTGCCTACCGCCGTGCTGTCAGCTTCGCTGCCTTCCTCGCGCTTGTAGCGAGGTGGCCCCGTTTCGTGACTCTATGGAGGGCCCACATGGACTCCCACGACGCGTTTTTTCCAGCCCTTGTGGCCGAGCTGGGCGCGGGCAAGCAGCAGGAGGACGATTCATTTGCCTCCCTGCTGGTGCAGGTGCTGGGGGTGAAGGAGAGTGCTGATCTGAAGGAAGGGTTTGGGTTCTTTGTGCAGCATTTGCTGTCAGGCGGGCTGGAGAAGGCGCATGGAGAGGAGAAAGGAAGGGGGCGAGCAGGAGGGCAGGATGCAAGAGGCCGGGGTATGGGGCAACTGGGGCATGGTGCGGACATAGGGGGGATGGGGGGCGGTAGGGTTGCTAGAGAGGTTGTGATATTTCCGCAGCTAGGTAGCCCTGAAGAGTCGTGGGAGACGGGGATCCGACTGATGGCTGAAGCCATGACGAGAGCGGTGGAGGGCAGAAGCGGCATGGGGGACGAAGTTGTGGCTGGAATGGGGTCGTGGCGAGACGGGGGCAGCAGAAGGGGCATGGGGGGAGAAACAGGCAGCGGAAGGCGCATGGGGGGAGGCAGGGGCAGCAGACGGGGCATGGGGGGTGAAGAGGGCTGCGGAACGGGCATGGGGCAAGATGGGGGCGGTGGAAGGGGCATGGAGGAGGAATTATACGGGATGATGGGCAGTGCGTGGGGAGGGGTGAGACGCGAAGAGGTGAGCGGCATGTTGAATCTGGACAGAGGCGCGGCCATGGATAGCTTTCTGAGTGCCGTGGGTGGTGGGGGCGGGGGCGGGGGCAGGAGGGGTGTGGGGAGTCAGGGAGATGGGCTGATGGGGTGGATGGGTGGGGGGGATGAGGCTGGGGATGGGGAGGCATCGGAATGGGGAGTGGGGACGGCTGAGGCTGGGAATGGAGGGGAATGGGGAGGCAGCGGTGGTGGGGGGATGGCTGGTGAAGGGGCGGAGGGGAGAGATGGTGAGGGTGGCAGGGATGGGAAGGGTGAGAAGTGTAGGGAGCATCTGAAGGGGCGTGTGTGGGAGAGGTATGTGGATGGCATGGCTTGGATTCTAGAAAAGGGAGGCAGGAACGGGAGTGAGTTTAGGTGCAGCCACTGCAGTGAGAGAAGCAGCAGCAGCAGAAGCGATTGCAGTGGTAGCAGCAGCAGCTGCAGGGACAGCAACAGCAGCAGCACTGATGCAGGTGGCAGCAACACCGAAGGCAGGGATATTCCCAAGGGCATGTATGTGAGTGGCGTGGGCGCCACTGACTTGGCCCTTGCAGTGGCCTCAGTGCTCTCCAAGCCAGAGTGCCGCAAGGAAGGGCAGGTATTTTTTGTGGATGGGAACAACGCCAACAAGACACGGATAGAGGACGCAGCTATTGAGAAGGCCAGAAAGAGGCTGTGACGGGAGGTGGGGGGTAGAGGCGGTAGAGACAGGGTGGCGAGGGTGAGGGGCGAGGGGGGGAGGGGGAGGGGGAGGAGGAGGTGGAGGAGTGGCAGCTGCTACAGCTGATTCAGCTGTTATGACGGCAGCAACCGCTACAGCTGCCGCAGCTGATAAGAGCACTACAGTTGCTACAGTTGCTACAGCTACAGCAGCACCGAATGTAGCAATAAAATCCTCTACAGCTGAGGCTACACCTGTCAATACAAACCCTGTGGTTGCTGCTTTCACATATCGAGCCACTTGCATCTTGCAGTGGGTTAGAATCTACGGCTCAGATTTCATCCCGAGTAAACAGTGTTTCAAAAAGAACACACAGGGGAAGGTCCGGCCCATGCGCCACCCGCTTCGGGACCTACCGAGCCTGCTGGTCAGGCTCGGCGCCATACCCAAGCCTCTTGACCAAGGCAGCTTCCCGTTGGAGTGGGAGGAGTGGCCTCGGGGCGATGAAGCTGCTGCGAAGCTTCCTAAGGACCTGAGTGCGAGATGCTTTCGACTGGGGGTAGTGAAAGAGAGCGGGTCGAGAGAGGAGGGTGGGGGAAAGGCATCTAAGGAGGCAGGGAATACAGTAGGGAGACCCGGAAGGACAGGGCGGGCCATGCGCGGGCGAGGAGGCGGGGGGGTTAGCAGGAACGCTAGCAGGGGTAGTGGAAGCGGGGTGGGCAGGGGCACAGCGTACGGAGACAACGCACCGAGCTTTGCAGAAGCTCTGGCAGCTTCCGTGGCTCCTCAAAACCAAAAGATCCCCATAGTTCGCTGCACTGCAGACGCCGAGTTTCTAGTGGAGTTTGCAGGTCACCTGGTATCCCCACCAGCCTGCGCTCGCTGCAGCAAGTGCTTCAACACTTTCACCTGCTTTCTCCCCGCCCTCACGCTGATTGCCACATTCGCCTATCAACCCGCCAGCGCCCTTTTTAACCGCTTTGTATCGGTCTTTCCCCCGCACTCCCCGGAGTTCAACGAACTTTTGGCTGACCTGCAAATGGAACCCTTGCCCACGGACGTGCCTGCCCTGCTGAACCTGCATGTGGTGAGAGAGCGGGCTGAGCAGTTTCCGGTGCTGTTTCTGCTGCTTGTGTCTTTCAGATGGCCGAAAGCCGTGCTGCAGATAGAGGAGTTGGATGAGGCGGGGTGGGATGAAGTGAGCGGAGATGGGAGTGGAGAGGGGTGCAGAGAGGGGAGGAGGGCGACAGGGAAGGAAGGTGAAAAGAGAGGGAGGAGGGGAGGACGGAGGGGGGGTGGATCTGGCAGGGATGAGCGAGATGGTGGAGGGGAAGTGGTGGGCGAGTGTGGGGAGGTGTGGGAAGAGGTGCGGTCATGGTGCCTGGCAGCAATGGTGGCTTGGAAGGCAAGCCTAAGGCTGGTGGGAGCTGGGTTGGGGGAGGCATGTGAGGGCAGCAAGCACCTGGGTGAGGGGGAGACGATAAGAGGTGCCAAGATGTGGCAGAAGGCTGTTGAGACGCGGTACTGTGAGGAGCTGGACGATGGGGGAGGGTCTGGCAGTGGTAGTAGGAGGGGGGGCAGTAGCAGGGGCAGCGGCAGGAGCAGTGGTGGCAGGAGCAGTGGTGGCAGGAGCAGCAGCGGCAGCAGGAGCGGGGGTGGTAGTTGGTGGGGGTGGGGTGGTGGCAATAAGGGGAAGGGTAAGAAGGAGGAAGAGGCGGCTTACCTGAAGGCATGGCCGGGGGGAGTCAATCTGGTGGCATATCTGCGAGAGATGCTGCTGGGGGAACCCTGCTACTGCCCTTCCTTTCCTGTTGTTTCTTCCCCTGCTGCTGGGAGCACAGGGACCCTGCTGAACGGCACAGTTGCTGGTAAATTAGCTCCTGAAGGCTCAGTTCGGCAGAGGAAAACCAGCGCAAAAGACTGTAATTCTGCTCGTTTGGGAGCGGCTATGTGCGGTGCTCTGGGGTGTGAGTTGGCGGAGGGTGGTGCAGTGAAGCTGAGGAGCTGCGGTGGGTGTGGCAAGGTGGCGTATTGCAGCAGAGTGTGCCAAAAGGCACACTGGCCCTTTCATAAGCTCACCTGCAAATCCAAAACCAGCAGCATGGTGAGTGGCAAGGTCTGTGTGTCTGTCTGTTCAGCAGCATGGTGAGTGGCAAGGTCTGTGTGTATGTGCAAGGTTACGAGCTTTAGAGGCGCTTCAAAAGTGGTAAGGCCGTTGCAGTGCCAGAACAGTAGTGAAACCTATAAGAGAGGCGCAAGGCAACGCAGTGACTGCTAGAGGGTGGTATAGTGAGCTCATTGGTGAGGTTCTTTTTCAGAGTGTTTTTTAGGACTTTCTGACATGCCACGCGTGTGAATGCTGAGAGGGTTTATAGTGAGAGTGGGACATGGTGAGGTCGGATAGCAGGAGGTTGCATGATAAGTGTGGGCTGTTTATGCATCAAGGCAGCGGAAATGTGGAATGATTATGCACTAGGGGAATGCTAGGGTTCTCCTCCCTTCCCTCGTTATCTTGTTATCACAAAAAAAAAAAAATGAAAAAAAATTGCCAGAATGGATTCGCAATAAATCTCAATGGTTTCCTCTCCTTCTTTGCCTGTCAAGGCGCCTCAATTACGGTAGCACCCCATGTCTTGCCTGCCTTTCTGTCTTTCTTCCCTTCCCCTGCCAGTGGCAGCTTTCGGGAGTGTGGTGTGCAGGCCTTGGGTTCATGTGTCTGCTCTTGTTAGTACTCCTGCTGTGGCACCTGCTTGGGTCGCCTCGCCTTACTGAGGTCGCCTAAGTTCACTTGCTGTTGAGGCTGGTCGTATCTCATCTCGTCACTAAAGTGAGGTGGCGGCTTGTGATCGCATACATGCGGGTGTTGTTTCATTTCATTCCTTTCTTTCTTCGCAGCTCCTCAAACCTTTCATGCTGGTACTGGCAAAACTCTGAAAATCAGAGGAAGAAAAAACTGAACAATTTGCATCATCTACAGAAAACCATCTAATATCAGGGCAAAAATTGGATCTTACACACCGGGGACGACGATGGCGTTTACTTACTATCTCTGAGTTCTAGCCTGTGCGTGCATCTACCAACTGGACCAGGTCTGAAACAACGAGGCAGCGATGAAAAGTTCTGCATAGGAAGGCAAACACTCAACATGTCAGTTGTTCTTGGACCTGTGCAGAGCAGTTGGGAGAGAGGGGTGCAATGGCGAGCATGGGTTTAGGGGCAGTAAGAAATGGGGGGAAAAAAATAGGGCGCAAGAAGAAGTTGTCATTAAACACATGCAACAAAGCTCAGGCAAAACGAAAGGGTATGACCTGCTGCACAATGTGCATGACTGGCATCAATCGCAGCAGCACACAGCAACTCAAGCATGCCAACAATCTGCAATGCTCCAAGCACACCCTCCTTGAGGGCACCTTAGAGAATTCTCACAAGTGCCACACGAGGAGGATGACTGGCAGCAAGCACAGCAGCACACTCAGCATCAAACATGCCAACCCTAGCATTGTGCAAACTAGATCCATGCAATCATTTATTGTGGCACCTCAGAATATTCCTACAAGTGCCGCACAAGGAGGATGACTGGCAGCAGGCACAGCAGCACACACAGCAGCAACACAGCAGCATGCACAGCAGCAAGTACAGAAGCAAACATCCCAGCAATTCACAAAGGAAAACCTCACATACCCTCGTTCTTTGCTGCATGCTGATACAAGCCTGGCCTGCGATGCCACCACTCAATGAACGAGGTCTTGCGATCACAACGGGATATGATGCCTCCAGTCAGACGACCTTTTCTTACACCTGTACTGCTCACCCACTCACTTGGCCACTCCCTATGCCACTCGCTTAACCAATCGCCACGCCACTCACCTTGCCACTCATCTTGCCACTGCTGCTGCCACCACTTCTCCCGCTGGTCCTGCCAGGGCATGTGAGCTTGTGGGAGGGCCAGTGCGCCTTTTGGCACTCTCTGCTGCAATACGCCACCTTGCCACACCCACCGCAACTCCTCAGCTTCACACCACCACCACCCCCCACCGTCCCACACCCC